GATGACATGGCACCCCAAACCATCACTGACTGTGGAAACTTTACACTGGACTTCAAGCAACGTGGATGAAGTGCCCCTCTTCTTTTCCTCCAGACTCTGGGACCTTGATTTCCAAAGGAAATGCAAAATTTACTTTCATCAGAGAACATGACTTTGGACCACTCACCAGCAGTCCAGTCCTGTTTCTCTTTAGCCCAGGCAAGACGCTTCTGACGCTGTCTGTGGTTCAAGAGTGGCTTGACACAAGGAATGCGACAGCAGAAACCCATGTCTTTCATACGTCTGTGTGTGGTGGTTCTTGAAGCACTCACTCCAGCTGCAGTCCACTCTTTGTGAATCTCCCCCACATTTTTGAATGGGTTTTCCCATAAGCCATTCATTTCTTTTTAGTTGCTTGTCCTTCAGAAGGACAATGTCTCCTTCTTTTATATTTGGTTTGTTGCGCTGCCATTTTTGACGACTTTGGAGCATGTGGAGGTATTCTTTCTGCCATCTGGTCCAGAATGTGTCAGCGAGGGCTTGAACTCTTTCCCATTGATTTTTGTACATGTCGGCTTTTTTGAAGTCCCCAGGTGGAGTTTGGATTGGATTAAACTTCTGGGTAAGCAGAGCTGAGGGTGTCAGGATTAAAGGGGCTTCCGGGTCGGAGGAAACAGGTACCAAGGGCCTTGCATTGATAATAGCCATGACCTCAGCCATCAACGTCACCAGGACCTCATGAGTTAGAGTAGGGTTTCCTGCTTGTAGGAGCATTGAGTCTAGGATGCGTCGTGAGATACCTATCATACGCTCCCAGGTGCCTCCCATATGAGATGAGTGGGGCGCATTGAACACCCAAGAACACCTTTGTTTGCGCAGGTAGTCGTCCAGAGTGGTTTCTTTGGGGTTTGGAGGATCTAGCCTCAACTCCTTTGAGGCACCAATGAAGTTTGTTCCGCAGTCTGATCTAAGCTGTTTAGCAGGGCCTCTGATTGCAAAAAATCTACGAAGGGCATTAATGAAACTGGACGAGCTCAGAGCTTCAATCACTTCAATATGGACGGCCCTTGTACACATGCAAGTAAACAGGACTGCCCATCTCTTACTGTTAGCTTGACCACCTTTAGTGCGGCGTGTTGAAACCTCCCATGGTCCAAATACATCAAGGCCAACATAAGAAAAAGGAGGATCAATTTGTAAGCGTTCGGCAGGCAAATCTGCCATAATTTGCTGCTCTGTCCTACCTCGAAGCTTTCGGCAGGTGACACATTTGTGGATTACACTGCCTATGGATCTCTTAGCTCCAACTATCCATAGTCCACTTGCTCTCACAGCTCCCTCAGTGAAGTGTCTCCCTTGGTGCTGGACAGTTTCATGGTGATGTCGAATGAGAAGCGTACCTGTGTGATGCTTTCCTGGTATCAGAAGAGGGTTGGTTTCATAACTTGCAAAGTTGGACTCTGTTAGTCGCCCTCCTACTCGCAGTAAGTTTTTGTCATCGATGATTGGATTAAGTTTGTGAAGGGAACTGCTGTGTGGTATGGCTCGTTTTGCCATGATGCATTTTATCTCCTCTGTATAGACTTCTTGCTGGACACATCTGATGATTACGTGTTCTGCTTGAGTTAAAGCTTCATCTGTGAGGCTTGCTTTACACATGTGCCAGCCGCTGCAGCTGCTACCATCTTTGGACTTGTAGCTGTGTGCAATGTGTTTGAGGTAGGCCACTGCTTTTATGAGGGAAGTCCACTTTGAGAACCGCTCAAAGCGCAATGAACCTAAGCCACCTGGAGCAGTTGTGGTCTTAAGCACAGTTACATTGTGTCTGATTTCAGCATCTGATTCTGGATCAACAAGTTCAAACGGACCTTTTTCTGGAAAGAGGCTCTCGTGGTTGAGAAGAAATGTTGGGCCATACAACCATGAAGTACTAGCAAGTTTCTCTGCAGCTACAGACCGAGAGCCATGATCAGCAGGGTTATGCTCTGTTTGGACATATCTCCATTGATCTGGTAGTGAAGACTGCTTGATCCTCTGTACACGATTGTTCACGTATACATGAAACCTTCTGTGTTGATTGTTGATGTATCCTAAAACTACTTTACTGTCAGTGTAAAATGTTGTTCTGTCAATCTTGGTATTCAGTTCTTCTGTGAGGAGTTCCGACATCTCCACAGCTAGTACTGCAGCACAAAGCTCGAGTCGAGGAACAGTGAGCTCTGGAGTGGGAGCCAATTTGGCCTTACCCATGACGAATCCAACTTCAATTTGTCCATTTTCATGTGTGACCTTCAGGTAAGCTACCGCAGCAATGGCTTTCACTGAAGCATCTGAAAAAACACAAAGTTCGACGAAAATGGCTTGTGAGATGGAGAACATGACATAGGTACGAGGAATGTGTAAACTTGTGAGACTCTGTAATGAGTCGCGCCATCTTCTCCAGTTGTCATACATGTCTTGAGGTAAGGGACTGTCCCAATCAGGGTTGCTGCCAGAGAGCTCTCTGAGAAGAAGCCGGCCTTTGATTGTAATAGGCGCAAGCAAACCAAGAGGATCAAACAAGCTGTTTATTGTAGAAAGCACACCACGTCGAGTGTAGGGCTTCTGCTCTTGGGGAACATGGAATGTAAATGTGTCTGATGTAGGGTTCCAACTCACCCCTAAGCTGCGTTGGACCGGAATTTCATCAGTTGTCAAATCCAGATCTTTGATATCTTTGGCCCTATCCTCGGGGGGGAATGCATTTACCACTTGCACTCTGTCGGAAGCAATCTTATGAAGACGCAGATTAGAGAGGGCAAGCATTTTCTGAGCTCTTTGTAGGACATCAATGGCTTCAGCTTCAGTTGGGAAAGACTTTAAAGCATCATCGACGTAGAAATCTTGCTCTATGAAGTTCCGTGCATCGGTTCCATATTCGTTTTCTGCTTCCCTTGCTGCCATCCTAAGCCCATAGATTGCCACTGCTGGGGAGGGGCTGTTCCCGAAGACATGCACCCTCATCCGGTAATCCACTACTGCTTTGGTAAGGTCATTATCTTCATACCACAGGAAGCGAAGGTAATCTCTGTGATCTTCCTGGACTACAAAGCAGTAGAACATTTGTTCGATGTCAGCTGTGATGGCGACCGGTTCTCTCCTGAAGCGAAGCAGCACACCTAAAAGTGTGTTGTTTAGGTCTGGGCCAGAAAGCAGTATGTCGTTGAGGGACACTCCATCGAACCGTGCACTTGAATCAAACACGACGCGTATCTTCCCTGGCTTTTGCGGATGGTATACACCAAATATTGGGAGATACCAGGTTTCTTTGTCTTTGTTGCGTCGTGGTGCAAGCTCTGCATGTTGGTTGTCTAACATTTTCTGCATGAATTCAACAAAGTGTGCTTGCATTTCGGGTCTCTTGTCAAGCGTACGTCGTAGGGACATGAGGCGCTGGTGGGCGTATGACCGATTGTCAGGGAGTTTGCGTCTGGGAGTTCGAAATGGGAGTGGTGCCACCCAGCTGTTAGTTTCGTCTTTGAAGAATCCTTCCATCTTCTTCAGAAAGATCCTGTCTTCGGCAGAATGAGATAGCTGATTGTCTTTTTTGGTACGACAAAACACAGTCTCTCCTAAATTCTCAGCTGTGGGCCTTTGCTGTAAATAACTGGATGGCAGTTGGTGGGGAATGGCTTTGGCTTGGCTCAGACTGAAGTCCTCCTTTACACTGAAGTGATTATCACAGGGAGTGAGATAGCTTGGACGACCATTGTCCAATATGTGTGTTTTCAGAGCATTCACTTCATCTGGCTTGTGAGCTTTGCCAAGACACATATCACCAATGATAACCCAGCCCAGGTCCAGCTTCTGTGCGAAGGGGTCATTGTGTTTGCCATTAATTTGATCCCTCACTTTGTGAACTCTCAGAAGATTTCGTCCAATCAGTAACAGTATATCTGCACTTGGATCAAGAGGTGGGATTTCAGCAGCTATTGCTTTCAGGTGGCGGTGGTGTGAAGCAGCTTCTGCAGTGGGTATCTCTTCCCTATTGTTGGGGATGGCATTGCACTCTATCAGTGTAGGGAGAGGAAAACTAATTTTTCCATCTAACGACTGGACCATGTAGTCACATGCCCTTCTACCAGTCACTTGTGTTACACCACTGCACGTTTTCAGTGTGTATGGTTCACTTTGGCTTTTTATATCAAATATATTGAAAAACTCAGTCTTAGCAAGCGATTGGTTACTTTGATCATCAATTATTGCATACATTCGTTTGATGTTGTCTCGCTGACCTTTGGGATAGACTTGTACCAAGCAAATCTTTGAACAGGATTTTCCTGTAAATGCATTTCCACATACCTCTGTACATGTTGCAGTAACGTCTGAGTCTGTTGGATTTGCTTGCTCCCCGCCCTGCTTCTTAGGGGATAAGGGAGGCTTAAACATTTGTGGTGCTGGGCCAGGGTGAAGAGCTGCCAGGTGTTTCTCACTGTTGCACTCTTCGCACATAATTGTAGTATTACAGTCTCTGGCTTGGTGGTTGGTAGAGGCAAGGCAGCGGTAGCAGATGTTATTATCTTTCAGCAGCTTTTTCCTGTCTTCAAGTAGCATCATTCGGAAACCCCTGCATCTTCTAAGTGAGTGTGGTTTGTGATGAATGGGACATTGTTTTTGAATGTCTTCACCTGTTTCTCTTGTCTTCGATCCTTCTGATGATATGTTTGTCTTGTGCACTGTGACTGATGGCTTTTGGCTGTAGTTACCAGTTGGTTTTCCTTTTCTGTAGCTGGAAGTGTTATTTGAATATGATAAAGTAGTTGTGTTGAATGTTGTAGTGAAGCTGGGGTCATTTCTTGCTTTGGCCTGACCTTTCACAAAGTCAATGAAAACTGAGAAGGGTGGAAAGCTAACATTGTGGTCCTCTTTAAACTTTGATCCTACCATTGTCCATTTTTCTTGAAGATGAAATGGCAACTTCTCCACTATTGGGCCTACTCCTCTGCTAGTATCAAGGTAACTAAGCCCAGGTAAATAGCCATCTAGCTTTGCAGCTTGGAGTTCACACAATAGATCTGCCAGGTCACGTAGCTTGTGTGGTTCTTTGCTGGAGAGCTTTGGGAAGTTTTGTATTCTGACAGAGAGTTTTCAATTGCTTCTGGTGAGCCGTAACACTCTTCCAGTCTCTGCCATATCATGTGCAAACCAGCAGGTGGATTCCTTATGTTAACTGCTTTTAGTCTTTTAGCGTGTTCAGAAGACTCTGGGCCTAGCCATTTAATGAGTAGATTCATTTCTTCACTGGCTGTAAGACTGAGGTCCCTGATGGTATGCTCAAATGTGGCTTTCCAGCTGAGATAGTTTTCTGGCATGTCATCAAATTTAGATAATCCTCCAGTTACTAGTTGACTTTTGGCAAAAAATCTGGCAAGATCACTTGTTGTGGTGTCAGCATTTTTATTTGGGCTTTGTTCCTGCTGTGGTTGTAATATGTTGTGGAGGGTTTTTGGAATTAGATCTGTTTTTGATGGTTGCCTGGCCCCATCCTGTGGCACTGACTGGTATTGCATTGGTTCTTGTTTGGGGACAAAAGGTGTATACACTATTGGCTGTTTACATCTTTCGTTCCGGTATGTCTCATAATCCCCTTGAAATGTCTCTTTATTGTCCCCAGCCAGGTCAGTGTAACTGTGTTTATTTATGTATTCACTCACCTTTTGTTCTGAAGTAGTTTGGAGAGGCAGAAATCTTAATTCTTCCTTTGAATCAGCTGTGTCAAACTGAGCTGCTGCTGACTCCATTACCTCAGCTTTAGCCGTGGCTGCGTCAGCTTCTTTTTGGAGATTGATTATGTCAAGAGTTGCTTCTAGACGGGCTTTTTCTACTTTGATCGTTATTTCCTGTTCAGCGTAGGCTAATCTGGCTTTCGCTGCTTGAGCTTCTGCTTGTGCTCGTGCTGCCGCCATGCTGGCTTGTGAGGATGCTGATGACCTACTGGAACGTGTTGCTTCTGATCTAACAGTAAATTTTCCTGAAGACTTTCCTGAGTGGGTTGACTTTGTTTCTTCATCATATCGACCTTTAGCTTCTGATTTCTCCATGGTTGAGTAGTAAAGCGTCTGCTCGTAGTCCCTTGCAGAGTGTTATGATTTCACTGTACTGTTGCACCCAATGTGACCCCGTGTCCTCTATTGAGATTCACAGCCAGCTAAACTCTTTCCTGCATCACTTCCTCCAAGGAACAGGCGTGTGTTGTATTTGAACAGGATTTAATGCAAAAAAGTGTGAAACTGAAACGATACAGAATACATAAAAATATTACTACACAAACAAAACATCAGAATGAATAAAATAAACGTTTTCTTTGTGTAAAACATGCATTTAAATGGTAACTTAAACTTAGCTGTAGCATAACATCCACTCTAATCTAACTCCAGCGTATTAAAGCAAACAACATATCAAACGTCTCAAATTTACAAAAATAATCAGATATATAGTATCTAGAAACCATAAACAATTATGTCTCTTACTCATATTGCCACTCAAAGGGATGGAAAGGAGCGGATGGATGCAGATGAAATCCAAACCATACTCATGCCTGACTCATGGCAGTAACTTCCTGTAACACACCTTCTACTCATTCACTGGCTCAACCTAGCGAACTGTGCAAACATGCGCCCCCTAAGGGCCTGGAGAAACAACAACATAAAAAAAGAGCTCCAGCACATTTGGATTGAATTAAAATTTTTGTTTCTGTATTTATTGGTAAAATTATTTCTTAAGTAGTTGTTTTTTTAAACCAAAATTTCCTTTTCTTCTTATTGTGAAGCTGAACAGCCTTTTAAAAATGGTTTCTTCCAATTTAGTTCCTCCTCTATTTAAGAAACATGTCTGCCATTGTTCTTGGTTGGTGTGGTTTGGTTGATGTCCTGCACAAGAAGAAATTAAAGTTTTGTTTGCTGAAAACTCTACAAAGCATGTTCTTCTTTCAACCCCACCTCCAAGACTGCTTGGCCTCCTGACAAGCATGTGACACCCTCCATCACTATTTAGATGATTGTTAATTTTCTCTCCCTGTTGGTCGGACTCTGACTCTGGCTCCCTGCACATCTTTGTGCTCAAATCCCACGGTGCTTTGTGAGGAGAGCTCTTGCAAAGCATTGCAGCATACAGGTGCTGGTCATAAAATTAGAATATCATGAAAAAGTAGATTGATTTCAGTAATTCCATTTAAAAAGTGAAACTTGTATATTATATTCATACATTACATACAAACTCATATATTTCAGATGTTTATTTTGTTTAATTTTGATGATTACAAATGACAACAAATGAAAATCTCAAATTCATCATATCAGAAAATTAGAATATTACTGAAGACCAATAAAAACAAAGGATTTATAGAAATGTTGGCCAACTGAAAAGTATGAACATGAAAAGTATGAGCATGTACAGCACTCAGTATTTAGTTGGGCCTCCTTTGGCCTGTATTACTGCAGCAATGCGGCGTGGCATGGAGTCGATCAGTCTGTGGCACTGCTCAGGTGTTATGATAGCCCAGGTTGCTCTAATAGTGGCTTTTAGCTCTTCTGAATTGTTGGGTCTGGTGTATTGCATCTTCTTCTTCACAATACCCCATAGATTTTCTATGGGGTTAAGGTCAGGAGAGTTTGCTGGCCAATTAAGAACAGGGATACCATGGTCCTTCAACCAGGTACTGGTAGCTTTGGCACTGTGTGCAGGTGCCAAGTCCTGTTGGAAAATTAAATCTGCATCTCCAAAAAGTTGGTCAGCTGCAGGAAGCATGAAGTGCTCTAAAACTTCCTGGTATGTGGCTGCGTTGACCCTGGACCTCAGAAAACACAATGGACCAACACCAGCAGATGACATGGCACCCCAAACCATCACTGACTGTGGAAACTTTACACTGGACTTCAAGCAACGTGGATGAAGTGCCTCTCTTCTTTTCCTCCAGACTCTGGGACCTTGATTTCCAAAGGAAATGCAAAATTTACTTTCATCAGAGAACATGACTTTGGACCACTCACCAGCAGTCCAGTCCTGTTTCTCTTTAGCCCAGGCAAGACGCTTCTGACGCTGTCTGTGGTTCAAGAGTGGCTTGACACAAGGAATGCGACAGCAGAAACCCATGTCTTTCATACGTCTGTGTGTGGTGGTTCTTGAAGCACTCACTCCAGCTGCAGTCCACTCTTTGTGAATCTCCCCCACATTTTTGAATGGGTTTTGTTTCACAATCCTCTCCAGGGTGCGGTTATCTCTCTTGCTTGTACACTTTTTTCGACCACATCTTTTCCTTCCCTTCGCCTCTCTATTAATGTGCTTGGACACTGAGCTCTGTGAACAGCCAGCCTCTTTAGCGATGACCTTTTGTGTCTTGCCCTCCTTGTGCAAGGTGTCGATGGTCGTCTTTTGGACAACTGTCAAGTCAGCAGTCTTCCCCATGATTGTGTAGCCTATAGAACTAGACTGAAAGACCATTTAAAGGCTTTTGCAGGTGGTTTGAGTTAATTAGCTGATTAGAGTGTGGCACCAGGGGCCATCAATTTTGAACCTTTTCACAATATTCTAATTTTCTGATATGATGAATTTGAGATTTTCATTTGTTGTCATTTGTAATCATCAAAATTAAACAAAATAAACATCTGAAATATATGAGTTTGTATGTAATGTATGAATATAATATACAAGTTTCACTTTTTAAATGGAATTACTGAAATCAATCTACTTTTTCATGATATTCTAATTTTATGACCAGCACCTGTATATCTGCTCATGTAGTGCACCACTTTTTTATCACTAAACATTGGGACACCCATTCCAAAAGGGGTGTCAGAATCCAAATGTGTGCTCCTGTACAGATCACTATAGGGTTTCTATAGTGATCTGTACAGGGGTGCACATTTGCAGACAGCCTCTGTGTTTCCCGATCACTAAGCGGCAATCCCATATTAAGGCTGGGCTGGGTGTGCCCTCGTTATTACTGGTTAACTACCCATTAGTTCCTTAATAGTTCTGTAGGTATTCTCTAGTAGTTGATACCATCTTGTGTGCTTTATTGTAAAGTGTTAGCAGCTTAAAATCAGAATGGAATGGACACGGTTATGGAGACAGATATGTTCTTAAAGATGGAAGTAATGAGAGATTTTAACAATTATTTAAATAGATCAGGCACTCACTTGGTCCTCTAATGAGGACAAAGACTGGCAGGGAACAAACAGCTGTGTTAACATTAGGGTATCTATCATAGGAGATTTGATTTAATTATGGGGAGAAAGGGAAAATAGAGAAGGAAGTATTGGCAGTTCTGTTATGGAATGTTTGGGATATTACCAATTATTTTCAATAAAGTAAATTATTATTATTTTTATTTTATTTAAAAAAGTCAAATAGTAAAACAAAAAGCCAGCATAACCCACCATGTATTTTTTTTATCTCCCCCTTGTTAAAGTGTAGCTGTACCAGGAACCATAAAGAATCCTCATCTTCTTATGGTTGTTTAAATCTTAATAGAGTCATAGAGCTGAAAGTACTTATATCCTCACCCACTTATGTCTCCTTAAAAAATCAAGGTTATATTTCCTTTTCTTATATTGAGAGTTAAACGTTTAATCTTCGTAGTTGCTGTTTTGAGAAAACCTTTAGGCGGTTCCTTTTTTTCAGGCGTTATTCGAGCTGTATTCTCAAGTGGCCTCTGCAGTCATGCAACTTAAATTCACATGAAAACACATCACAAAAAGACAGAGTTGTTGAAACCGAGCTCACGGCTAAGGTCAGCTAAAGGTGCTTTACTTGCAGCTGCTGTCGGATAAAATTTTCCAAAATGTCAAGATTGCAAGGGTTCAGGATAAGTGGAGTTGACCTTCTGCTGCCCTCCTTAACTAAAGTGCTTTTGCTATTTTAAAGGGCTTCATATTCCCCAAGGGTTACAAAGCAATCCTTTATAGAAACATTGAATATTCAAAAGCAGAAAGATTAATAAGAACTTCATAAAACCGTAGTACAGATCTTGCAGTATGAGCCAGAGTTCTGCTAAAAGTTCACATGAACAATAAACAGACACATGAGTATTTTTATTTAATGCACATGCACACAAATTATTGTCAGGGTGCATTTTGACTATTTTACACATGCAGTTTAATACCAAAAGAACCAAGTTTATCACATACAGTACAAGACTGCGTTCTCCATCTATGCCTGCCTTTGTGTTTACGAACAGATCTAGCTTGTACCGCTCTAACTTAAATTGTTTAAAGCCGGAAAATATAGCTATGATGAAAGCAGGAGCTGCAGAGCCGAATAAAAATAAAGGAATTCAGATTTTACAACTTAAACCTGCCCTTCCACAGTAATATTTGTTCAGTCTAAATGTTAATTAAACATTTAACAAATGCTGAAACTGATAAGTTAACCGAAAATAAAACCATCATCATCATCCTAATTTGGATAGAATTAAGTTGTTTTTCTTGTAGAACCTGTTAGATTATAGTTTCCTAAATAGTAAGTTTGCAAGGCATCAGGAAAAGTTGATTTTTTCCATCCGCTGATTTCAGATTTTATCACTTTTACTATGATAAGAGGCATTACGTTTTTAAGGGCTTGTAAATAAGCTCTAATTTTGCTTTTGCTAATGCAGCAAACAACAGCTAACACAGAGCCCACTGAACTTAATTATAGTTATCCTTTTTGGTTATAAGATTATGATGAGAGCTATATTCCAATATCTGTTTTAACGTCTAAGTGAAACAAATTGTTAACTTTTATGGCTACAATTTTCCTTGAACCAAAAGTTGGCTAAAAATAAAAAGCCCTTGTAATTTAGGTATTTTGTTGTGAAATTTATTTTTTAAATACATGTCTTTCTTAATGAGGAGTTAATTTGACCCTCTGCTAAATTTCAAGAGGCTTAATTTTTCCTTGATGACTCAAAAAGTCAAAAGCATATAATCCTAAGGAGCACTTAGCAAAACTAAAATGTAATATATGTCTGTGCAAATTCTCAGTCATCCACTTGAATGGAATCACAAAACAAGCTTAAATCGGAGGCAACCGAACTTCCACTCAGTTTTTATGAAACATTTTTACGGCTATCCAGGAGTATTTGTCAGTTCTGGCTGGTACTATAAGCACTTGTAGCTGGAGGGCAGATATTTTAAAGCACCTGGAGATCCATCCTCCTCCGCACATAGTCACATGCAAAACAATGACCCATCTGTCGTTTTTCCAGATCACTGGAGTCTGTTATATTGTATGAGTATCCTGTTTGGCCATCTGAATCATGAGACTGGTTGTATTACCTGTTTAGAATGAGATCCAGGGCAGAGTTGTATTCTGCCATAGGAAAAAAAGTGGGTAACTATGAAATCCAGTTAAATAAAGGAAATTGATGGTAATTCACTCAGTCTGTACTTTATTTTCTTTGCAAAGTTGAGAGACAAGACAGATCGTAACACACAGCTTGATGCGCTGCACTGTTCTGCCTAGATGTTTTTCTCACTAACTTAAATTTTGCAGGAGAGCTGAGAAGGTGTCCAGTTACAGTTAATCCAAACAAGTTACAGAAAGTTGAGGAAATTGTAAAATATAAAAATAAACCCGTAGAAGGAATCTGGCTTGTTATGGGAATGATTTTTTTCTGTCCCAAACAATCCCTAATAGTAAATCAACAGCTCCTCCCAGACACTGCGTGGC